AGGTGAAGATCCTAATATGGGGAAAAACTGACAGCAAGCTGTTTAGGAGCGTCTCAAATTTCAACACCCTAGTTGGCATCCTGTTGATCAAATATGAAGCTGTAAGAACAGCCTCACCCCATAGATATTTAGGAACCCCCATAGTGAACATTATTGCCCTAGCAACCTCAACTAACCCCGTTTTGCCGTGGGGTATCAAAGCAAGTGGACCGATGGAAAATACCCTTTTCTTTCAAAAAAATCACCAAGAATAGAGTTATAGAATTCTTTTCCATTGTCGGTTCTAAATACTTGAATCCGGGTTTGAAACTGGTTTTCAATCATGGCATAAGACTCGTTAAACACTCTTGCAGCCTCAGATTTTTCTCTTAAAAGATATACCCAACACACTCTAGTATGGTCAACAATGAAATTGATGAACCACCTAGTTCCAATCACATTAGTAACCCGAGAAGGCCCCGACACATCACTATGAATCAAATAAAATGGTTTGGATGCTTGATATAAATGAGAAGGATGAAAAACACGATGATGCTTTGATAATTGACAAGATTCGCATTGAAATAACAAAGGATTTAAATTTTTGAACAGGGATGGAAACAAATGTTTTAAGTAAGAGAAACTAGGATGGCCTAACCTATAGGGCCATAACATTATTTGACTTTTAACATAAGTAGAACTATCACTACTACTTGCAGCTTGAGCTTGTCCACCCCTGAAGATTTCATTATCAAAATAATAGAGTCCATCAACCACCTAGCACTGCCAATCATCTTCCCCAAATATAGGTCCTGAAATTCACAGTGAGAATTAAGAAATTTGACAACACAGTTAGAATCCTTGGTGAATTTACTAACTAATAAAAGATTGCAAGAAAGGTTAGGCACACAGAGGACAGATTTTAAAACAAGGTTTTTGAGACAACTATAGAACCTTTTCCTGTAATTGGAGGCAAACTACCATCAGCAATACGAATTTTTAAGTAAACAGAACTTGGAAAATATGTACTAAACAAATGTGATAAACTAGTCATATGATCAGATGCACCAGAATCAATGATCCAAGGTGCCGGATTTAAAGAACTAGTGAGAGCACTTAAAGAGCTACCCTTTTGGGCAAGAGAACCCGAGGAGACACTTGAAACCTGAGTTTGGTTCAGCAGATTGGAGAGATGATCAAGGTGCTCCTTACTGAATAGAGATGTCTCGGTTTCAGTAGTAGCCTGCATTCCACGCTCATTCTTGTCTCCAAATCTGCCTACCTTCCAATTTGTTGTTTTCCATGTAGTTTCCAGCATGTTTCTCGCGTGTGCCTTGGTTTGTTACAGAAATCCCACCAGATCTTGGTTTTCTCTTCAATCTTCCGTTGTGGGTCATTTGTTGGTTTTAGATTAACTACAGCTGCTGCCATTTCAGTGGTTGTTACATTGAGTGCAGAGTTCTCACTATGAGTGCCAGAGGATTTATTTCGATTTATTTCCCATCATCACCAACCTGCAGCTTTCTTCCCTCCTAACTCCCAAGAAGACTTCTCTAGTGGTAGGCAGTGGCTCTTTGCCTAGAATATGTCCTCTCACTTCGTCTAACTCAGCATTAAGTCCAACCAAAAATTCAAATACACAGTCATTTTCAACTGTTTTCTTGAACTGGGCACTATCGCCTGCACACTTCCATTCAAAATCATAAAAGAGGTCAAGTTCTTGCCACAGACCTTGTAATATGTTGTAATACTTTTTGCAACAGTCTGATCTCCTTGTCTTGTTTCTCGGATCCTTGTTCTAATTTCATAGACTTGTGCAGAATTGCCTAAGTCTGAGAATGTCTCACTCACTGCATCCCATAATAATTTGTTAGTGGAGAGATACATAAATGTCTAGCCTATCTCCGATTCCATGGAGTTCACTAGCCATGACATAATCATTGAATTTTCTGCATCCCGAACGGCATATGCTAGATCATCTTCCTTTGGGGCCTGCTTTGCTCCAGTTAAATAACCAATCTTCCCCCGCCCTCAGACGAACAACTTTAGGGATTGAGACCACCGTAGAAAATGTTGTCCATTCAGCCGATGAGTGGTAATTTGGAGGATTGGGTTGTCACCTGAACCAGATGCAGTGATCTAGGATTTCTGAGCGTTTGAAGAATCGACCGAAACTTCCTCAGTGGAGAATCCGGACATCGCAGATTTAACCAAAAAAATCATCCAGAAACGACGAAGAGAAATAGAAGAATAAGTCTTCTATAATTCTAGTATAAACGACCAGAATTAACGATGAATGTTTGCTGATTTTATCGAATAATCAGCAGAACAATGGAGTAGTTTACCGTCCTAGTGAGGGCGGCTCTGATACCATGAACACAGAGGTGAAAAAGAATAAATTCTGATATTCACTTTTCATATCACATATGTTAGTTTACAAGCCTATATTTTTTTATTTTTTGATAAGTAAAATGTATAAAAGGCGTTCAAAAGGGGAACGCGTCCCAAGCTATACAAAAAACTGAAACTATGATCTCAAGGAACCCACAAAGTCCACAATATCCTCAATGGAGGAAAAATATCTCCCCCAACCCCAACAAAAAAGAGTACAAATAATAGAGAATTTCAACACCCCAATGGAGGCCTCCTTCCCATCAAAAGATCTTTTATTCCGCTCTTTCCAAATGCTCCACCAAACACAAAAGGGGGTTACCCTCCAGAAGACTCTCGCCTGAGCCCCCACCCATTGGCCCCTCCAAATATCCAGCAAATCCCGAGATATCCGAGGCATAACCCAATGAATACCAAACAAATCAAAAATGAGACTCCAACAATCATGAGCCACAGGACAGTGCAGCAACAGGTGATCCACTGACTCCCCATTCAACTTACAAAGACCACACCGATTAACAATAATATGTCTTCGTTTCCTCAAGTTATCCAAAGTCAAAATCTTGCTTCAAGCTACAGTCTACACGAAAAAGGCCACCCTAAGAGGCGCCTTCGACAACCACACCGTCTTCCACGGGAAGGAAGCGCCATGAAAACCAAAAACGCATACAAAAAAGACCGGACCTGGACCATCCCCTGAGAAGAGTGCAACCAAAACAAGGAGTCAACACCGGTGCCCTCCACCTCCTGTCTGTACAAGAGAGCCAACAAGCCAGTGACATCATCCAACTCCCAATCCTGAAAAGATCGTCGGAATCGCACATCCCAAGATAACCTCCCGCTATCAAGGCGATAGCAGTTAGCAACCATAGTATGTTTGTCAACAGCAATCCTGAACAGCCTTGGAAACAAAAGAGCCAGAGGCCTATCCGTGCACCAGGGATCCTCCTAAAACCGGACAAACCTTCCATCCCGAACTTTGAATCTAACATGTTTGGAAAACTCGTCCCATCCTTTTCCAATGGCCCTCCACACCCCTACTCCACTAGCAGACCTGACTGGCCTAGCTGACCACCCCCCTCTCTCCTCCCCAAAGCGACAAGAAATAACCCTTCTCCATAATCTATGCCTTTCACTGCCGAATCTCCAAAGCCACTTACCAAGGAGAGCACTATTAAAGGGGGCCAATCTCCTAATCCCAAGCCCGCCCAACTGAAGAGGCCTGCAAACCTGCTCCCACCTGACAAGATGATACTTAAACTCCTCTCCACGACCCCCCCAAAGGAAGTTACGTTGCAACATCTCCAAACGGCCAACAACCGAGGCTGGAACCTGAAAGAGCGAAAGAAAATACGTTGGAAGGCTTGACAAGACGCTTTTCACTAGCGTAACTTTACCACCCTTGGAGATATATTGCTTTTTCCAACCAGTAGATAGACAGATTTTGTGAGAAATGGTAACTGCTTTGTTGAAATATAATTATAGAACAGCTGATCATTAAATCTTCAAATTCTTGCAGCTGCTATTTGAATCTTAGTGGTAAATAGACTATTATATTAAAGAAATGTTCCAAATACTACCCATCTTGTATTTGGGGCTGCATGAGGCTGGTATTCAAGAATCTCCCAAACTGAACACTAAAAAAACCAAGAAGGATTTTATGTGTGTGTGAGAAAGGCAACTCAAAATGATAAGGACCAACTACTCTTATACATACTAATACTGAGAATATTTGAATGACTAGATGGACCAAACCTCCAACTACCACAACAGTTATAAATGGACAAATAAATAAATGAACATTTTATTCACTAAAATTATAGCAAGTAATCAAACCAAGCTGGGACCTTGGACTACTTTCCATCATAATATCGGAGAGATGAGAGAGAGAGAGAGAATCATTTGACAAGCCGCTTCGTAAAGAAAAATGTTCGCATTTCCTTATTATCATGCATGGAATTGCGGAAAATATTTAAAGAAATCTAAATTTCAACTTTTTACAAACAAATCCATTATCAATAATATATCTTGCAGGTCACGAGGGTGGACTCTAGCAGGTCTAAACTCAACAGGATGCTATTTACAGCTGTGCTATGGGCTTTGTGGGGTGAGAGAAACAAGAGATACCACCAAGGGGTCTGTCTATCAGTTGAAGAGATTGCTAAAGCAACTTGCTATATGGTTGCTGATGCTGCTGGTCTTAACTTCCACCATGTCATCAATTTTTTGTAATTCTTTTATGTTGTCTGGTTTTAGGTTTGATTTGTATTGGAAATGGTATTATTCCATTTCACAGGCTGGTTTGTTATGTATGTGGGGTATGCCCCTACATTGATCCATTGTACTGAGAGTCAAATTTTTTAATTATTAATACAACGCCTAGTTATGAAAAAAAAAAAGAAGTAACTGTAGTACTTTTCGAATGCATATTTAACAGGAGAAGAAAAGTTGTTGCAATTATGTACACGAAAGATAGGAGAAATGCCAATAATAAACTGCATAAAATAAGACAAAAAAATTATAAAAAAATTAAAATTTATTCTATTTTCTACCTTTTTCAGAACCACAGGGACCATAAAGAAAACACAAAGAAATAAAGATTAGGAAGAGTAATAAAAATCTAAACTCACCAAGTTTCGGCTATGGAGGAAAATTTAGCAAGCTCGGCTTCGTTCAAAGACGAGGATGAAGTTGGAACCCTATTGAAATTTTTCACATCATTTGTTGTATCACCATTGATTGGAGGCTTCTCAGGCAAAGACGGATTGATTGGAACCGGTTGAGAAACATCAGAGTAAGGTCTTAAGTGAACAAAGGTTTGTGGAGATCTGAGGATCGAGCGTTTAAGAGAAAAAATAGGGTTAGGGTTTGAGAATCGGTAAAAGAGAATGTGGTGATCGGTTTTACACAGAGTTCGGAGATGGTTCAGAAGCTTTGAAGCCATTGTGGAAGACAACGGAAAAGAAGCAGGAGAAATAAATCGGCGAAGGCAATGATTTGGTTCAGAGGAGTAGCATTGGGCCGATGGGCCTCTAAACTAGCAGCCCAAATACAACCTCCAAGGAAATGATGGCCCTTTGTTGCCCACCTCCCTTTTTTAAGTTGGACAAAGGGCCCAATAACATATTTATGGTATATTTTGATGGCCCTTTATTTAGTTTGAAAATATTTAACACTATGTGGCCCAATAAAACTAAATATAGGTAAGTCCATACTTAGCCCCCGAAATGAAACTATTCATTGGGCCTCTAACAACTTTAAATCCAATACTAATATATAAAATGTTTTTAAACCTGTAATAAAATATGTGTGTGGGTATATATAGATATATATAGAGAGAGAGAGAGAGAGTAATATTATAAAAGAGATAAAAATAGAGCTTTAGAGAGATAGAGAAAGAGAACGAAGAGATGGAATAAAGAGAAAGAGAAAACTGTTTTTCCTTACACCATCAATTGTATACAAGAAGCCTATTTATAGGCATACACTGAGGCTTCCCAAACAAGCCATGATAATGGCTTTCACAGTAAGCTAATCTTCTAATCTTCCTTCTCACACCAATTTTGTGTCATCATTGACTTCATTTATTATGGACACCACATAGATATATATATAACACTCCCCCTTGGAGTCCACAATATTATACTAATAATATGCCTCGTTAAAACCTTGCTAAGGAAAACCCAGTGGGACAAAACCCTAGCGAAGGAAAAAGAGTAAAGTATTCTTATGTATCTGAAAATGGTATTGCATAGATTAAAACTGCCTCATTAAAACCTTGCCAGGAAAACCCAGTGGGACAAAACCTGGACGAAGGAAAAAGAATACAACATGCCAATACCTCTTTGATCAATTGCTCCCCCTCATTAGATCAACCTTGAAGATCCTTTAGTTGACGCATTCGAATGTTGTGCACTAGTTTTTTGAATGTTGTAGTTGGAAGCGTTTTAGTGAATAGATCTGCTAGATTTTCACATGAACGTATCTTCTGAATATCAATATCACCCTTTTTCTGGAGTTCATGTGCATAAAAGAATTTTGGTGAGATGTGCTTGGTCCTGTCACTTTTATATACCATTCCTTCATCTGTGCAATGCATGCCACATTATCTTCATATAATACTGTTGGGCTATCTTTTATTGATAAGAGACCACATGTTCGACTATGTTGAATCATTGATCTCAACCAAAAACATTCCCTGCTTACCTCATGAATTGCGAGTATCTCAGAATGATTTGAAGAAGTGGCAATCATTGTCTGTTTCATAAATCGCCATGATATAGCTGCACCGCCACAAGTAAACACATACCCTGTTTATGAATAAGCTTTATGTGGGTCAGAGAGATAGCCAGCATTTGCATATCCAATTAATTGAGAATTTGGCGCCTATGAATAAAACAATCCCATATCAGTTGTGCCACGAAGATATCGCAATATATGTTTGATTCCATTCCAATGTCTGCGAGTTGGTGCAGAACTGTACCTTGCTAATAAATTGACTGAAAAAATTATATCAGGTCTTGTGCAATTTGCAAGATACAAAAGAGCACCAATCGCACTGAGATAGGGCACTTCAGGACCAAGGAGTTCTTCATCTTCTTCTCGGGGACGAAAAGGATCTTTCTTGATGTCAAGTGATCGGACAATATAGGAGAGTTTAATGGATAGGCTTTATCCATATGAAAATGTCTCAAAATCTTTTCTGTATATGTTGATTGATGGATGAAAATACTACTCGAAAAATGTTCAACCTGCAGCCCAAGGCAGAATTTTGTCTTTCCGAGATCTTTCATTTCGAATTCTTTCTTTAAATAAGTGGCCGTCTTTTCGATCTCACCCAATATTCCCACAAGATTCAGATCATCAACATATACTGCAACAATAACAAAACCAGATTCTGATTTGTCAATAAAAATGCATGGACAAATATGACTGTTCACATATCCTTCTTTGAGTAAGTAATCACTAAGGCGATTATACCACATATGTCCAGATTGCTTCAATCCATACAAGGATCGTTGTAATTTTATCGAGTGCATATTACGTGGTTTTCAGGCATTTTAAATCCCTCTAGGATTTTCATATAAATATCACTATCTAGTGATCCATATAAATATGTTGTAACCACGTCCATTAGATGCATATGCAATCTTTCTATTACTGTCAAATGTATTATGAATCTAAATGTGGATGCATCAATCACAGGAGAGTATGTTTCCTCATAATCAATACTATCTCTCTGTGAGAAACCTTGAGCTACTATTCGAGCTTTGTATCTCACGATTTCATTTTTCTCATTACGTTTTCGTACAAACACCCATTTGTACACAACAGGATTAACACCCTCATGTGTTTGGACTACTAGTCCAAATACTTCACGTTTAGCTAATGAATTTAGCTCTGCTTGTATTGCTTCTTTCCATTTTGGCCAATCATTTCTTTGTCGACATTCTTCGACGTTTTGAGGTTCCGGATCCTCATTATCAATATCAAGAGTAACGAGATATGAGAATATGTTGTGGACAACAATTTCATTTCTATTCTATCTCGTTTCATAATTTAGTGAGATCTCATCATTTTCAGGTACCTTTGCCTCATCAAGGGCTACATCATCATCTGTTGCCTTTGCCTCATTAACATTTATTATTTCATCATGTTTAGGTACCTGAGACTTATCAAGAGCCTCCGCCTTATCAAAGGCTATTGTTTCAGATTGATCAATAATATCTGTTGCTTCTTTGGTGGCCTCTTCAGGAGTGCCAGCTTTTCTTTGTGATTTCCTCTTACGAGGAGCAGTATCTTTTGCACCAACTGGTTTGCCACGCTTCAGGCGTGTTTTAGATGCATTTGCTGCATTACTAACAGAAGGTCCCTCAGGGACAGCAATTCGAGCTGGAATATTTACAGTTGATATATACGATTTTATCACTTTCTTTTTATCAGTAAATGCATCAGGTAATTGATTTGCAACATTTTGCAAGTGAATGATCCTTTGAACTTCTCGTTCACATTGGTTTGTACGAGGATCAAAATGAGATATTTTCAGGGCATTCCAAGTAAGATCACGTTGCTGTTGTGCCTTTTCTCCCCCTAATGGTGGGAAAACAGTCTCATCAAAATGACAGTTAGCAAATCGTGCTTTAAAGACATCACCTGTCAGGGGTTCAAGATATCTAATAATAGATGGAGAATCAAAACCAACATAAATTCCAAGTCTACGTTGAGGACCCATTTTTGTGCGTTGGGGTGGTACAATTGGAACATATACAGCACAACCAAAAACTCGTATGTGGGAGATATTGGGTTGTTGACCAAAAACAAGTTGCAATGGTGAGTACTTATGAAAAGCAGTTGGTCGTATACGAACTAATGATGCAGCATGCAATATGGCATGACCCGAGGCAGAAACAGGTAATTTTGTTCGCATAAGCAAATGACGACCAATTAGCTGAAGTCTTTTAATAAAAGATTCAGCCATACCATTTTCAGTATGAGTGTGTGCAACAGGATGTTCAACATTAATTCCAACTGACATGTAATAATCATCAAAAGCTTGAGAAGAAAATTCAGCGGCATTATCAAGACGAATTGTCATGATTGGGTAATCAGAAAAGTGTGCCCGTAATTTGATGATTTGAGCAAAAAGTTTAGCAAATGTAACATTACGAGTAGAAAGCAGACAAACATGTGACCATCGTATTGAGGCATCAATTAAGACCATAAAATAACGAAATGGTCTAGAGGGTGGATGAATTGGCCCACATATATCCCCGTGAATTCATTGTAAAAATGGAGGAGACTCAACAATGACTTTTGAAGGGGATGGTCTGATAATCAACTTACCTTGTGAGCAGGCGGTGCATAGATGATTATTTGGTACGATGATTTTTTGATCCTTTAGTGGGTGTCTATGTGAATTTTCAATAATTCGACGCATCATTGTACTCCTTGGGTGACCAAGTCGATCATACCAAAGCATAAAAAGTTTTGGGTCACAAGATTTTTTATGGATCACAGCATTTAACTCAATTGTTCTAATGGTTGTATAGTATAACCTAGAAGAGAAAACAGGGAGTTTTTCTAATATCAGTTTCTTGCCTAAGGTAATGGAAGTAACGTAGAGATATTTCACATTTATTTCATTTGCAGTCTCAATATGATACCCATTATGACGCAAGTCTTTAAAACTTAACATATTTCTTCGAGAACTTGTAGAATATAAGGCATCATTGATTTGTAATCTTGTTCCATGTGGTAAAATGATGTTGGCTCGTCCGGAGCCTTAAATCAAGTCGGTGGGACCCGATATGGTACTTATACTGGCGTCTGTCAGAGTTAAGCGGGAAAAATATTTTTTATCTCGAAGGATTATATGTGTTGTTCCACTATCTACAAGACATATATCTTCTCCATTTATTTTGGAAATAGTAAGATCCATTCCTATGCATGCAAATTTCTTTATCAGAAAAGAAACTTTTATAACAAAAGAAACTTTAATACAAACTAGAACATAAAACTTTAATACAAGGAAAATAAAAACATAGTAGACAGAACATGAAAAGAAAAAAAGATTAATTGGTGTGGACATTTCCATCACCAATCAGGAAGTCTATCTTTTCATCACGGTCCTCAAAGAAATCTGATATATCCAAATTTGTGATGTTAACTGGCTCATTATGATCAATGAAATTCATTTCTAGATTTGTGATGTCAACTGGCTTATCATGATCAAGGAAATTCATTTACTTTTGTTTTCCCTTTTTCTTTCATTGAGGCTTGGTAAAGTTCAGCCAGATGCTTAGGTGTAAGACAAATATTTTGCCAATGCCCTGTCATGCCACACCGATAACAAGTATTATCGTGTGCCTTGGAAGGTTGAGCCACATTCTTCCCTTTTCCCTGTTTCATTTCATGATGATCTCTCCTTTGAGGATATGATGTGGATCTCTGATTGCGAAAATGTGAGGATTGATATCCTTCACGATAATAAGAATGATTTCTACCACGACCATATTCATTATTGTGGTAGTTATTTTTGCCACGACCATATTCATTTCTACCACCACGACCACGTCCATGTCCGCGGGATGAGGCAACATATGTTTCAGGGATAGGTGTCGATCCAGTTGGACGGGACTGGTGGTTTCTCAATAAAAGTTCATTATTTTGCTCTGCCACAAGCAAACATGATATAAGCTCTGAATATTTTTTAAATCTACGCTCTCGATATTGTTGTTGCAAGAGTACATTCGAAGCGTGAAATGTGGTGAATGTTTTTTCTAACAAAAGTTCATCAGTAACAGTATCACCACATAATTTCAATGTAGAGCTGATTTTGAATAGAGTATAGTTATATTCAGCCACAGTTTTAAAATCTTGCAACCTCAGTTGCAGCCAATCAGCCTAGGCCTTTGGGGGGATGAGTGTTTTTTAATGATCATATCTTTCTTTCAAATTATTCTACAAACAAAGTGGATCTCTTTCAGTGAGGTATTCAGTTTTCAGTTCCTCACTAATATGGCGCCGAAGGAAAATCATGGCATTTGCTTTATCTTGCAATGATGCCTCATTGTCTTCTTTAATTGTGTCTCCAAGGCCCATGGCATCCAAATGGATCTGAGCATCCAGAATCCAAGATAAATAATTTTTGCCAGAAATATCTAGGGCCACGAATTCCAGCTTTGTCAAATTTGACATTTTCAGAATAACTAGATGTGACAACAATATAAAAATATTATTTAGCATAGTATATAAAATAAAATGATATTAAATGAAATAATAACATAATATAAATTATTTAAATAACAAAGTTGGTAAATCCAGCCACAGTAAATAAATTATTAAACAATAAAGGCGGTAAAATTGGCCCATAAATCATTAAATAATAAAGGTGGTATGACCGACCATAATTAGGAAATCATTAAATAATAAAGGTGGTAGAACCGACCATAGTGTAAGCACATATATCATTTAAGTGAACAAATTTATTTTACTAACAATAATCCATAATTAAAATTTTCTTACCCTTTGAAGTCAAAAATATTATTTTCTCTGATAAAGCAAACCAACCCAACAATCTATCAAAACTAATATCAAAAACTAGATATATAGTTGGGATAGAAAGAGGGATAGAGAGCTTCTTCTTTTAAATTTCAGATGGATCGAGCTCGTGTTGATAACGTGTAATAAAATATGTGTGGGTATATATCTATATATATAGAGAGAGAGTAATATTATAAAAGAGATAAAAATAGAGCTTTAGAGAGATAGAGAAAGAGAACGAAGAGATGGAATAAAGAGAGAGAGAAAACTGTTTTTCCTTACACCATCAATTGTATACAAAAAGCCTATTTATAGACATACACTGAGGCTTCCCAAACAAGCCATGATAATGGCTTTCACAGTAAGCTAATCTTCCAATCTTCCTTCTCACGCCAATTTTGTGTCATCATTGACTTCATTTATTGTGGACACCACATAGATATATATATATATATAACAAAACCCAAATTCAATAATACTATACATCAAAGTGAAACAATAGCAAAGGTCCAGGCTCTCTCTTTACTATGTAAGACACTCTCTTTACTATGTAAGATTCCCTCCCTCATATTCTCTCTGGTTCGCTCTTTATTTTAATTAAAAAAAAAGGTTAATTACAATAACACCTTCTGAGATTTGTTATAATGACAGTTACATACAAGTTGGGCCATTTTTTAACAATAACACCCCTGAGGTTTGCTAAAGTTAACAAAGACACCCCAATGGTCCTTACACATAGTGAATTAACATTATTATCCTTTGACACATTCAATTACCAATTTGCCCTCCAATCAATATCAAGATTGTATTCCTCCATTTTTTTGAAGTATCGTTTTTGCCCTTTAATCAATACCAAGATTGTATTCCTCCATTTTTCTCTCTCTAACTTTTTTTTTTGGGAAAGTAATTTAGAATATTTGTATAGAGATGGGTCAGAATCCTGGCTTGGATTCTCAAAAAGAGAACTACAAAAAGTGCTCAGTAATTTCAGCTTCGATTATCTGGGGAAATAATCATCACTTCCTATCTCTATCATATCATATATAATTTGATTCTCAAAAAACAAAACAACAAGAAGAAGAATTGAAGTTATACATATATATATATATATATATATATATATATATATATATATATATACGTAGGTGCAAAATTTCACTCAACCAATAACAATTAAGAGAAATAAAACAACTCACTCAATCAGCAATAAAAATAACCAAGAACAGTATATAAAAAAGTGTAGAATTGCTTGGATGCCTAGATCCCTTTTATTGGAGGTCTTGGCCTCTATTTATACATAAAAAAAGTAGTAGAATTATGGTAGGACTCGCATTGCTTGTCCTCCAATTCTTTCCATGTATGACTTTCTTTACAATTAGAATTCTTTCCATTATTTAATTTTCTATGCACAGAATTTGCTTTGTGTAGAACTTCCTATTGCAAAGCCTTCCTTCTATGGTAAATCCTTCAACTTATAGGATTTATCCAATCTTAAATAACTGGGCTGGTTATACCTTTAATCGGCTGGGCTTGAATAACGGGCCGGATGTTGATATTAGCAAATCGGGTTGATAACCTTTTGATTCGGCCTGGATAAAGGTTGGAGGGCAAATAACAGTGATCATGGGCTAAGAATACATTCAATTTGGGCTTGAGCATGACGGGCCTTTGAAAGACAAATTTGCATCCGTGATGACGTGGAGTAATCTTATTAAAGGGGATTTTTTCCCTCCACACTTTGCCCCCAATTCCTCTTTAATTGGACTACAGCTCCTAATTAAAAGGGAATTGAAGTTGTGCAGTTACCACTTTTGCACGAGGCGTTTCCAGTTGTGTCTATTGTTATTCTCACTCAAGGACTTTTTCAAGACTTGCTTTTGTTCTTACTGCGCTCGTTTCGTCCCTTGCGTTCTTCACATTCTCATATCACTAGGTTAGTTCTTCATCTTCTTCTTTCAATCTTGCATTATGAGTACTTCGACTACTCCTGATCATGTAGAAATCGCGGATTTTGAATCCATGCTCTCGTCTTCTTCTAACCTCATTAGGGTTCCTCCTCTTAGGGTTTCTAACTTCCTTAGATCTGCAAATGACCCGACCAATCAGCCGGGTATTTCTCCATTCCATGCTGAGACATCCACCTCTAGGTCGGATAGTGTTTTTACTAACGAAGAGAGAAATGCAATTTTATCTGTTCGTCGTATTAAGTTTTCCATTGAATCCATAATAGAGGATTTTGAGATTCCCGAGGAGGTAGGAATTGTAGAATACCCCAAGGGCGCCGATTTTTGTGCCAGTGAAGGCGTCGGCGATGACGAGTTGCTCCTCTCTGTTGGGCACCTTAACGCTCTTCGATTCCCCCTTCACCCTTGTTATCATTTAGTTTTTAACAAATTAGGGATTGCACCCCTACAAGTAAACCCTAACTTCTTCCGAATAATCTTGGCATTCCTAGCTCGCCGAAGGCTGAAGAGTCTTGATCTGACTCTTGCTGACTTGCTGATTACTTATGCTATTTTCAAGCACGGGACCGAACCTGGTCGCTTTTACTTTACTTCTTCCTCGCACCAGAGGATATGTACAAACCTCTCTTCCTTTGAAAAGAAGTGGATAGAGAGGATGATAACCGTTAAGGGAAATGGGCTGTATCTCAATCGAGCAAGCTCCCAATCCCACGCAAGTTTGGGAAGCTAGGTATAGATTATGCCCCCTCTCTACATAAAAATTGTTCTGGTTGTTTCCCATGTCAAGTTTTACTCTTTCGGTATACTTATGAATTTTTTGGTCTTGTTTTAGTGACATTCCCTTCCTCTATTGCTAAGAAGAGACTTTCCTTTCTTGAAAAGAAAGTCTAGTGTGAGCCCCCTTCTATTGAGGATTTGCTTACCTCGGCAAACCTTAAGGAAATCGCATCCAGAGTTGAAGCTGCAGACCTCATGGATTTGCCTCTTCCGACCTTCGATAGTTTCCCAATGACTGAGGAAGGAAAACAGAGGGTTGAGGCCCTAAAGAAGAAAGTTGCTGAAAGACCGGCCCTTAGTAGTTATCAGGTCGAATGAGCATGAGACAGAGGTCGATGAGCCTCTTCTGAAGAAGACTAGGCCCAATCCATCTTCCTCTGGCAGGAGTAAGACTCCTTCTAAGAGTAAGGGGAATAAAGCTGAAGAGACTGAGCCAGAGGATGAAGTCAGAGCATATGTTCTGGCTAAAATTGGGCACCTTCCTTTTCTTAAGGCTGATAAATCGGTCCTGCACTCTGGTGATTCTATGATCACCAATCCATCAGCTGCATTGGTGGTTGCCCGGGGAATGTGGTTCCCCAAAGACGAGAAGATTATCGGCAGAATGGGACTGGAACAGTTACTTCCATCTGCCCCCGTTCGCGCCATAGAGGTCTGTTCCTTCTTCCTTCCTTGCTCTTTTAGTTCTTGCTTCCACTATACTTACATTGTTATCTCTGTTGTTTGATAATGTAGGGTCTATATCATACTATGGCCCTGTGTGCCACTGCTGAGGTGCAATATCTCTCAATCAAGAGAAGCTAGAGAAAGACCTTGGCAATAATGAGAAGAAAGCCTCGAACGCATCCCTGAATGCGAAGATTGCTTCTAAAGCAAGGGATGCCTACAAGAAGCGCTTGGCTGAGTCTGCAACTAAGGTGGAGATGTTGGAGGCTGAAGTCCAGCGCTTGACCGAGTCAATTTAAACTTGTGTCACTGCTGGGAGACAGATGCAAGGCCGTTACTCTACTTTGGTGCGCTTGTCTAGTGCAAAAGCTTACCAGTCCGACTTCAATCAAGGCTCAGGCCCCAAAACGATGGATCCTGATACCTTTGATGCAAACATAGGGGTGTCCATCCCTTACGATGAGGGTCCGAAGGCTCAGGAGGCTGAGGTGCTTTTTGCATCCTCCAAGCTCATCAACTCCTGTAACTCCTAGTCCTTCAATTCCTCCAACCTCAAGCTCTACTGTAGTGGATGCTTTTGATTCTGCTCCCTTCGATCTGATATCTGAGGATTGCTTCTTCCTATAGTGTTTTAATTGTCAAGGGAACCTTTCTTGCCATGGAGTTATATGGAGTATATATGTATATGCTTGTTATTTCCTGTGTGTTTTCGCTATAGGACCAATGTATAACGGGCCTTACACTAGCGTGAGGCTTGTGAAGGAAATACCCATGAAGTATTTTCCTCAGCGTTGATCATAAAAGAGGAGATACTCTGAACCGGATACTTAGGGTCCGAAGCTTTTTGAACCGGACACCTGGGGTCCGAAGCGAATTATTCCCCAGCGTTGAGCCTGTGTGGGAATGTGCTGAGCCGGACACTTAGGGTCCGAAGCATCTTATTCCTCGGCGCTGAACCTGAGAGGAAGCTTTGCTGAACCGGGCACTTTGGGTCCAAAGTGATTTCATTCCTTGGCGTTGAGCCTGAGAGGAAACTTTGATGAGCCGGACACTTTGGGTCCGAAGTGTTTTCTTCCTCGGCGCTGAGCCTGAGAGGAAACTTTGCTGAGTAGGACACTTTGGGTCCGAAGCGTTTTATTCCTCGGCGCTGAGCCTAAGAGGAAGTATGCTGAGCTGGACACTTAGGGTCCGAAGCGTTTTCTTCCTCGGCGCAGAGCCTGAGAGGAAGTATGCTGAGCCGGACACTTA